CGGCCGGCGCGGGCACGGTCGCAGCCACAGTCCCGGAGAAACTTCATGGTGCGGCTTCTTCTCGGCTCCGGCCCTGGCCCCTTGTCGTCGGCGAGGCTGGAGGGTTGAATGAGCTCCGGGCATCTCTGAACGTGTATTTATTGAGGGGGCTTCGAGATTATTCATGGCCTTGGGAAAATCCGGCAAATGAAGCACACACACGAGGGGTGTGTGCTCTCGCAGCGCGCCGGGTTTGACAGGGCTGCTCGAGAGCCGGGATTGTGAAACGGGCCGGGGGGGGCGGCCGAAAGCAGCCGGTGGGAACATGAAGTAATCGTGCTCCGTAACTCCTTGAGGCCCGGGCTGCTCCCCGCATCCACCGCCGGCTCACCTGCCCCCCGGTCTGGCTTTCCTCGGAGCCTGCCAGTTCCAGCCGCACAAAACCTGGAAATTATACATGCATACCTGCCTATATACACGCATACTTTATATATGCGATACACTTACGTGTGTTTTAATATTTTAACGTGGTTTAATGTTTTACCAATTTCGTATGATGTATATTTATATACATCGTATGATGCATATCTATATACATCATACGAAAAAAATAGTTAAAATATCCCTATATTTTAGCTATTTTTATTATTTGTATATGTGAAACTAAATGCCCCTGTTTAGGCGCTGGATAGTACAAGTTGCAAGTTGCCTCTCTGAGTGAACTACATGTGGGTAGGATTAAATACATGAAATGCTTTGAATGGACCAAAGCCAGCTCCTGCGGGAGGCTGGCTGCAGGAAATGCCACGAAGTTCCCCATTATCTGCTGCCTTATCTCTTTCTGCCTACCTGTAGCTGTTGCAGGAATTTTAATCTTTCAGGGGGACTCTTCACCCAGGGCAAGAGTTCCTGTTGGGATCAATCTTGTAGCATGCAGGCTGAGTCAAACTGTTTAAGGCATGCTGACATTGAACTTGTGGAATGTCTTGAACTGATTTTGGCCAAATTCCCTTTTTTTTTTTCTTTTTCTTTCTTTAGTATGAAGTTGGTTATGTTTTCTCACTTAAGAAAGATCAGAGGCTGCATTGGGAACTCCTAACAGGAGAGTACAGAGTTGGAAGAACAGAACATGGGGCATAAGAGAGGTGTTAGAGACAACACAGAAACTGAAAATATCCCAGATACTTCATTTTCTAAGCACAGCCTGAAAAGAGAGCCTCGGGAAAGAAGCAGAGTACTATCGGTTTTTATTTAATGTCTCTTTCTGTCAGTAGCAGAAAAGCAGCTGTGGTAATTTTGCCCAGTGGAGAGATATTAGAACTGGAACACAAGTGTGAGAGAGCAGTTTTCAACAGCAGCAATCCATCTCTGCCCAGGTCCCTGAATACAGCAGGGGGATATTGCCATAACAGTATTTGCTGTAATGTCAGATCTGTGGCATTAGGCATAGAAGAAAGCATGCCACTAGCAGTACGTTTGACAATCGTACTTCTATCAGTGAAAAGATCCAACTGAAATGTGCTAAAGGATTAAAACAGCCAGGCCAGATGAGCTCAAAGCTTGGTATTTGCTTTTGCATAACCATCAGAGGCTGATACATCAGGGAGGGAACTCCTGCCTACCTCTTTTTCCACTTGCAATAGCACATGGATGTACGTCTCAGGGATTTCCTTCCGCTGCCAGACGACTCATAGGCTGTTCCCTGCAGACTGTCAAACATTTCCTTTACCTAACCTAAGTGAAAGTACTATTCTTAAAATGAGGAAAACTTGGTAGAAGGCTGTGTTTCCTTAATATCTTTTCAGCAAGCATTCTGTAATTTAGTCTTCTCTGTAGCTCTGTAATTCTTAATTTTGTAAACTTATTTTATACATACCTCATTGTATTGTGAAAGCCTCCATTCCTTAGAAATTTTCAGAGAACATTTTTGTGCTGATCACTGTTATTCAATCTTGCTGATGTATGTAGTTGCATCTGCAGAGTGAAATAAAAGCAAGTTTCCACTGTTCCTCATCTAAAAGTCTCTAAGCCTTCAGTTACTGTTTTCTCATTTTGGGGTTTTGTTTACTTTTTTTAATATGAATGTCCATGTGACTTTTCAGAAGTACAAAGTATACTTACATGCTCCAGTGAAAGGTACTCATTAATGGCTTAGGAACTCCATTTGATAATCTAGGACAAAGCATAGCATTCAAAGGAGGAAGGAACTGGAATTTACACAATAGAATTAGAATACTTTTATTGCTTTGGACAGTTTCTTATGGAAAATCACTTATTTAATTGGTGCTGTACATAGAAGAAATACATTTGCACTGATCTATCTGTAATAATGGTTAAATTTTGGGAAGGGTTTAAAGGAGATCTGCACTGTATTATTAATTAGTTGGCACTGTACTGCACTGAATTACACTGATTCATCAGTAGTCACGTTGTTCCAAATTTAATAAGCTCTGAACAAACAGCACATGCTCATGAGTTACCTACAGATCAGGAGATCCTGGTACTTAAAATGTAGGAGTATTATAACTGAGACACTGAGGCATAGTTTCTAGATGCCAAGGAATTTCTTTCCTGCATAGCATCTTTGTAATACTGTAGATTACTGTTCTTGCATCCTTTTATTTCTATTGCACTATATTTCACTGTACAATTTTTTTCTTTTTCTTTTCATTTATACTGTCAACAAGATGGCTGCATCCTGGTATGTAAAAACTTCCTAAGGTGGGATTTCAGAAATTCTCAGTGTTTACCCAACTTTTTCTTCTGTCTGACAAATGAACACTACTACCGCACATTTCTGTAGGAGCAGAGACCATTTCTGAAAGTTGTAAAAAATCTCTCCTCTCTGATTGTTGCACATGAAAATTGTTCCAGGTTCCAGTCAAGTTATAGCCAATCCAGGATCATCCCATGTGTGTTTTCTAGGATCAATGTGCAACTGACCTATTCTGGAAAAGGTTCTTTTTCTTCTAGAATTGGTCTGCCTGGGAGCAAGCCTGTGCCACTTTTGTTCTTGATAACCTGGGAAATTTGGAGAAAGGAGCCTGTTTTCAGGAGAGGTGGATGACACCAACATGGAAACGCTATTACCACTGAAGTATTCAACAAACTGCCAAAGCTGTCATGGTCAAAGCTTGTCTTCCCTCTTGTCAGCCATCAGGGACATGTCTACAAGGAGCCCTACCATGTGCAGGGGCAAAACCCAGTGCCATTGGCAGCAGCAGGAGACCTTGCTTGCTGAGTGTTGTGAGTCAAACATAAATGGCATTCCTACATGGAAAAATAAGGTCTTTCAATGAATTAGAATTACTAGGGTGCAGTTAAGTTCCACTCCAATCTGTGTGTTTGGTTTGACTGTCTTTCTTTCTAATAATCTCCACTATTTTACAGTAGTAAGAAAACCAGTAATGTTTATTTGGGGATTATGACTTAAAATAGTACTGTTGGTAGTAAGAGAAGAAATACAACTGAAAATGTGGTGTTCTTCTATAGAAGTGTTAGATTGTGTGTGGAAGAAAATGCCAATTGTCAGAACTGCGATCATGACAATCACTAAGCAAATAACTTCCAATTAGTTTGAATGAGGAGGAAAGCTGATGTCTGATTCCCCTGACATAGTTTTGGTTGAATTCCTCAAATCTTGTTAACAAGAGAACTCGAATTCTTACAGATCTTGTAAAGAGTGTCAGAGTTCTTTGTAATGTCAAACCAAGCTGCCCTGTGCTGTATTTGAAGTGAACAGGTTGAACAGGTCAGTAATACCGTGTTCTTGTTTCTCATAAGCAAACATTGCTTTGACAAGCTGCATGTCACCAAAGAGCGCTGGTGCACTTGCCTAACAGCCTGTTGGCTTTTGTGGCTTGGCAAGTTCTTTCCTTCTCTATTGGTTTTTTGCCAAGTAACTTCAAAGTTTTTTGGGGATTTTTTGGTGAAAACTTTGGGGATTACTCGTTTTTCTTTCTTAAAGGAAGACTTGCATCATTACTTAAAAAGGCTAAGAAGTGTGGTAAGACTTGAAATTTTTTTTGAGTGCATCATATGCAAGTACCATGAATTTCCTTGCCTTAAGCTAGATCAGAGGTTTAGAGAAAATTTTAACTTACCTTTAAATTATGTCCTGGTTTTCAGCTTATCTGCTTAATTTCAAGAAGATAAATAATGCTATGGTCTTCTTTAGCCAACTTCCAGCAGACAACAACATCCAGCCATGCAGTCCCAGGTGAAAGAGGTCCTAGATAGAATGGTTCTTGGGGAATATCTGAATGCTGCAAGACATATCTAATGGCACAAGTCCTTCAAGTCAAAATAATTGCAGGGATTTTAATGCTGGAATGGGAATGTTGTGGCACCTGACCGTGAAACTTGATTTTCAGTAGGAGCACTTTGCTTCTGTGACTGCACTGTTAAATGGCATCAGGAAGCAATTTGATAAACTTTTCTCATGGAAGGAAGGCAGCTGTTGCTTTCTCTCTGTCATAGCACAGTGTGCCTGGTGGGGTGGATGGTGTCCCTTTTAGGGCTGCTTGAGACACCAGAGCAGAGAGCTGGTCAAGTTAGAAATACTGATGGCCTTGGGTCTTTCACAAGCAGCATGTTGTCATCTGGCTTGTTTTGTGAGCATCACTCACTAGGACAACACACTGTTTTGACAGGGATCCCATTTTGTCAGCACTGTGTATTGTAGGGTTGTACTTCTGAAAGAAATCTCTCTCTGTTTTTAAAAATTAATT